GCTATTTAAGGTAAGGCAATTTACAACTTGCTTATGTTGAATTTAGAAAATGGTCCAGCTAAGCAAAACTTCACTGTAAGCTCTGGTCTTTGATATATTATTCCTAGACTCATTGAACACAGATGTCTTTTACTTTATGTCCCGCATGCATTTCTGAAAAATTTTCTTGGATTTTGTGTTTTACAGTGAAGTAATTTCCCCATTGCTATAATTTAAAATAGGTAACCACATACAAAAATGAATTAAAATTCCCCAAAATAAAAAATTTCTCATTAAACAATAAGGAAATTTAATAAAGTAGCAAGTATAAAAAGTTAATATACTTGAAGCAATATCCTACATTTTATAAACATAACCAAATAGAAGATATAATGGAAAAACCATCACATTTGCAACAGCAAAAAAACAATAATAACAATACAAAATACCAAGGCTAAACTTTACCAATATCCACAACTCTATAAGGAATCTATAAAATACTCTTAAATGATACAAAGGTAAACATAAACAAATAAAAAGGTAGACCATGTACTTCAGATAGGAGGAATCAACATCATAAATAAATCAGTTTTCCCTAAGATAATTTAGATATGTAATACAATACCACTGAAAAACCATTGGCTTTTTTTTTTCTAGAAGCAGACAAGTTAACAATAAGGTTTATTTGAAAAAAAAAAAAAAACAAACACACACATACACACACACAACAATATTGGAAAAAAGCAGGGTAGTAGCTAGTCCTATCAGTTATTAAAATATACTATAAAGTCTCACAACAATGTAGAATCCTGTTGCATGAAAAGACAGAGAGACTAATGGAACAGAATAAATTATTCAGAAATAAACTTAGTTTTATATATAAAAATTCATTATGAATACAATAAACGTGGCATCTTAAGTCTGAGGGGAAAGATGAACTTTTTAGTAAGTGGAATTACAATAACTGGATAGTCATATGGGGGAAAAAAGATAAAAATTAGATCCACTCCTTTCACCATAAATGAGAATAAATTTCAAAAGGATCAAAAAACATATTGTAAAAGATAAAACATACGAGTAGTAGAAGTCAACATGGTTAAATTCTTTTATAATCTGGGGCACAGGGGTGGGCATAGAATTTGACTAACTATTACTCCAGGTCCAGAAATAATACAAGAAACTATGGGTAAATCTGAATACATTAAATAAAAAGATTTTTTTTTGCATGGCAAAAGACACAATGAGCAAATAAAAAAGACAAATGACAGACTGGGAAAAAAAATATTAACTAAAATGTTAACATCCCTAATATATAAAGAGCTCCTAAAACAAAAAAGAAAAAGACCAATACTCTATTTTTTTAATGAAATAGAAAACTGAAGGCAAATGGCTCTTAACTTGAAGGAAAGATGTTCAACCCACTGATAAGAGAAGCACAAATCAAAACCCCACTGACATAGCATTTCTTATCTACTAGATTGACAAAAATCCAAAAGGTTAAAACTACGCTTTGTTGTTAAATCAGTGAAGAATCAGGTGGTCATATATTTGTTACAGTTACAAAATATAAAATTCCAAAGGAGAAGAATTTAATAGTATCTAGCAAAATTACAGATGCATTTACTCTTGACCCCAAAATAAGTCCAGGGATCTATCTAAAAACATATTGACAAAAAGTATGAAAGCACAAGGCTATTCACTGCATTAATATTTGTTGTAGAAAAAGTGTAAAAACAACTCGAATGTCCATTAAAAAAGATTGGTTGAATAAATTATGGTACATCCACTCAAAGGGGTCAATTATAGCTAAAAAAGGAATGAATAATATCTCTACCTATCACTATGTGCTATCTCCAGGAAAACTTGTTAAGTAGCAGATCAAAAAATTAACATGCCAAAAGTAAAAGAAAGTCATGAAGAAAAAATAATGCGTTATGTGCTAACAAATATCTAAGAATGGAAGAGGGATGCTATTAATATTTATATGCATTTATTTATGATAAAAAAATGTATGAAGCAAACAAAATTTTTTAAAATAATTACCTTTAAGTCAGAGAAAAAGAGAAAAAGTTGGTGGGCAGAGAGTAGCTAAACTTTTTAAGAATGTATTTCACTTCATATACTGCATGCTAAAAATTTAAACATTTTTGCTGATAAAACTTTTTAATAAGTTTAGAACTGAATTTGAAGAATTTATACTGAAAGTCATTTTCAAGTCTGGAAATTCCAATAACATTTGTAATATAACATTGTTACATTTTACTTAATGTTAAATGTTATAGTTAGTCAAATATAACATATTTTGGCATGTGTGAAAACACAATATGTGTGGACTATATTTTTACTGTGATAGGCACTCTGTGATACAGTGGAGGAGACTGAATCTGATGGAGAGCTGATCCACTGGAAATCAGATTATCAGCTAAAAAAGAAAAGTTCTTCAGAAATAAAAACCCAGTAGTTGATAATGATTATACACCTTAGTTTGGTTCCTCATTAGACTGTCAATCTGATTTTGACACAAAATTGACATTTTTTTCTTTAGTACTTATCAATATTTGACATTATATCATAAAATAATATGTTTATCTCTCTCTCTCTCTCTCTCTCTCTCTCTCTCTCTCTCTCTCTCTCTCTCTTTCTCTCTCTCTCTCTCTCTCTCAAGCTCTAGCAGGATCTTGTTCACTATTTTAACCTAGAATCTGGTTCCAGTCCCTGGCACATAGATTTTGCCCAATAAATATTTGTTAAAATAAATGATGGGCGAATCTTATTTATTTGCCATGGCCAAAACTCTACCCAGGAATTTATGCAGTCATAGAATGTTTGGCCCTGTGGATATACCCAGGTGTTTAGGTTGGACAGCATCTCCTCTAGGCATTTAATGGCATTGGTGTACAGGTGTATACGAGATCAATGTCAGAATGTAGTGGCAAAATAGAACAATCTCCGAAGTCACTCCACCTTCTCACAGTGCCTAGTTTACCCACCCGGATAGCGAGATTCATGTAGTACCTATCTCATAGGGGGTTATTCCAGGTAAGGCACCCAGCACTATGTGTGGCATACAGGGGGCTCTCAGAAAAATGTCTTATTTGTATTCATACATTCTGGGAATTGAGGGAATCATAATGCCTCCCTAACATCTACCTTCCTAAAGTCTCCATTTTACTATTTTCCATATAGGTGGCCATTGTTAAGTTGTTAAAATAATTTGAGCTTCAGATTTTGAATTAATAAAATGAAAATAGTTTCTACTCAATACACCATACCTGAGTTGTTTAAAAATCAAATCAGACCACTTAAGTGGAAGTGCTATTACTAAACAGCTGTGCTGTGTCCTTTGTCATCTACTCACTTAACCATTTAGTCAAATTAGTCAACTGTTTAATCAACTGATCAAATAGTCATATTTATAATCACACACAATGCGAAAAGTACTGAACTATTCGCCATGTGAAATAATGTTTTTCATACCATGACCCAAAGATTCCATAATTTCTTCCAACTATTGTTTAAAATTCAGCTGCTGGCACCCATGTGTCAACATAGAAGAGAATTTTTTCCCATAAAGAACACATTTCTGGGATCAAAGTCTGTTCTCATTTTCTATTGCTCCCCAGCAATTCTCTTTTCAGTCTTTTCTGAGCCTGTTCATAAAAATATGAGAGTCTAAAACTTATTACAGTTCTGGTAAATAATAAAAATAGACTGAGGTCACTTATATTGGTTCTGTGTGTCTTGAAAAGACTGAAACGTGGCAGACAGATTTCAGTTCAACCTGACTGAATTGATATATTTGTTCATAGAACAAAATGTGGTAAGGTATTTTTAGTAGTCTCTAGGAGACTTCTGTAAACTTTTATTGCTCAAAGTATAAATATATGAAAATATATACTATAATGTAAAAGGATAAAATAATACTGAACACTGGCAAAAATAACCTAAGATTAGCAGAGTTTATCTATGAGTTACCCGTTTTCAAGAAAGTGATTAAAATAATATTGGAATTAAATATTCCTTCCAATCTCCCTCACCAACCCACTCCCTGTTCCCCAAGAGTATCACTCTTTTGTGGGTATTTAGTGCCAATCTTTACATATAAAATGTATACATACACAAATATACACATGTATAAAAATAAGAATTACTTCAAAATTAGTGTTAATTTTACACACACACAAAAATGACAACTCTTATCACTGGTTGATTGACTAATTTATTTATAAAACAGAAGTATTTGTGGACTTAAAGTGAGGTACCACATTTAAAAATATATCAGTATTCCTCAACCTTGTGTGGGCCACTCCAGTTCCAGATGTCTTAATGGTTCCTCCTGGAATCTCCATACTATAATTCAGACTGAATTAATGTAAATGTTTTGTTGTTGTTGTTGTTGTTGGTTTTGACAATATTCTACTAGTAAGCACATATCAATGTAGGAAGTTTGGAGATAAAATGGATAATTAATAATTTCGAACGGTTCCATGAGATTTAAAATGTGCAGGATAAACATTAACTTTTGTTGACTTTCCTGGATGCTGCAACTGCCTGATTCCTGTAACCAGTTCTTGTGCCTCTTCTCCTCACAGATAAAAATTAGATGCAACTAAAGCTTCTTACTCTAGGAGAAATTGGGGGGATAGAGAGTCAAGGGAATAGGTTTCTTCTACAAAAGTTTATGTCTCTCATTTCTTTTTTGGAGAATCACTTGTTTCAAAAAGTTTACGTCTCTCATTTCTTTTTTGGAGAATCACTTGTTTCAGGTAGGTTTGAAGAGTTGGAAATTCTCATTACTGATATGAAAAACACAGTTACCTTTTCACAGATGTGCGGGACTGAGGCAAGAAGAGAAATTTGTGTCTCCTGCCCCAAATGATTGGGATAGGCAGTAGGAGTAGAAAAGCGTTGGGGCATAAAGGTCGCTTGGGTTGCCAGAGGCCAATATTTCCTGTCAAATTATACGGAGAAAACGGCGCTGGAAAAAAGAGTGATGTCAGTCCCCTTTCTTATGCTTCACTGCTGCCAAAAATTCTGTCTATCTCACTCTTCACCCCTTCCCTCTAACTCTCGTCCCCGTTCTGCCCCTCCTTAGAGGTGTTTGCGAAGATGAGTGCCGTGTGGGGAGAACAACTCGTTGAATCGCTTTGGGCAAAATTCACCCGTTCTCTCTCCTCCCTCCCCTCCGGCCTCTGGATCCCGCGCAGCCCTCCCCGCTCCCCCTAGAGGAGTGGGGTTGGTGATGTGCCTCTGTACTACTAAGGTGGGAGGGGGCTACCAGCAGAGGATGTCAGATGCTCAGTTCTCCCTTTCTGCCTGACGCTCCTCTCCGGCTCTGCCAGGATTGGTCTCTGTAAGAAATAGCAGGAGCTGTGGCAGCGGCGAGAGCAAGCGGCTGAGGCGCGTGGAACCTTAAAAGTCTGGGTGCTCGCAGTTACCTCGCAACGTGGTCCCAGCCAGCCGTCAGCACCATGGACAGCGGCACCGTCCCCAGGAACGGCAGCAACTGCACTGACCCCTTCACGCACTCTTCAAGTTGCTCTCCAGCGCCTAGCCCTGGTTCCTGGGTCAACTTCTCCCACTTAGATGGCAACCTGTCCGACCCCTGCGGTCCGAACCGCTCCGAGGTGGGCGGGAGTGCCAGCTTGTGCCCTCCGACCAGCAGTCCTTCCATGATCACGGCCATCACCATCATGGCCCTCTACTCCATCGTGTGTGTGGTGGGTCTCTTCGGAAACTTCCTGGTCATGTACGTGATTATCAGGTAAGAAAGGCACTAGGGCTCAGAGCAGTGATTTCAGTGGCTAATGGGGGCATAAAGGAACACCTGAGCCCCCAGGCAGAGTGTTTGGCAGGAGGATAAAAGGAGTAAACAGGGCAGCATATGGGGTGACAGTGAATAGAGGGTTGCTAGTCGAGTGCCAAAACCTGCTTTCTACCTCTGCCCCCCAATTGAAAAAGAAGAATCCAACATTTCAGCAACAGAGAAGTTGCATTGCTTTGGTAAAAGCTATAAAGCTCTGGCAAAAATAAAATAAAATAAAATATTAAAAAAAATTTTTTTAAAGCTCTATCTTAGAGCTCTTTCATACTGAACTGAAAGTGCTCTTGGGCATGGTGCCCCACAATACCTTTTGCAGAAGCTGTGGGAACAGTAGTTTGTGAATAATGGAAGAGGAATTCTAGTTCATTTCCTTCAATTAGGGGCCAGGTCTCCAGTTTTTTTGGAGATGAAGCTTAGCAATAATTCCTACTCTTGCTGGTTTCTGTATACTTTGCCATACCAAGTGCCGCCCCCCCTTCCCTGTCATATTAGCCCTTATCCCACTTTTCCTTGCATCCTAAGGCCACACTCCTAGAGGACATTTTCCTGGTGTCTCTCCACAGTGTTGCTTTATTGTAACAAATATAATAGTTGTGTTGCCTAGACCAGTTTGTAGAAACCAGCTGCAAATCTGCTGTGGGAGTCATGAACTGAATTTGGAATAGGCAGGGTGGTTCATGAGAAGTACAGGACGTGACCGTGTTTCAATGCCTCCAAAAGGGGAAATCAGTTAGAAGTGACCAAAATCAGCACAATTCTGGATTATTAGCTATATAGGAAGTTGTAATGGTTGCTCTTAAAAAATAAGAAGTGTCTTTGTCCAGGGAAATTATTTCAAGAGTTTGTGGCCCATTTTCTGTTTTCCAGATGCTCCAGGTTTACTTGGCAAAGAGTGTGCAAGCTCTCAGTATTAACTGACTTTGATGTAGGTTGTGTTAGTGTTGATATGTATATTCAAATCTTGCATATTAACATGGAATACTATATAATCATTTTTGTTAAAGTAGATAAAGATTTTAACACTTTAAAATGGCTCCCGATTATGATTTTCTTCCTGCTAGGGATTCTATGTGTTCTATGTATCTAGTGAACATGGAATTTTCATGTTTAGCCACAATATTTGCTTCGTCTATTCACCACACATCGCAGGTCTTGATGGGACTCTTTAACTATTTAATAACCCCTTTTGCCCATTATGATTTCATTATCAAGGTGCTGCAAGTTGCTTTTAATGGATTATTTCTACTGATATGTCTGATTTCTATAATTAATGATTATTAAAGGGTAATACTAATTTCCCTGATCTTTTGATGAAAAATATAATTAAGTGGTGTCTCTGAGAAAACAGCACCATCTATTGAGAAGAAGGCTAACAACAGAAGATAATGCAAGAAGAGAATCAATGGAAGAATTTATTTTTATAAGTATTTACTTTATGTAATACACTACAAAGATTCATATCAAAGATAAAAACTAAGTCTCATTTTGCAGTTATAATAAAACTCATAATTAAAGGCCTGTATTATGAAGGGAAAATATGTTTCTCATTTTTCCTAAGGATATTTATGGAATTTTAAACTTATAGGACTGGAAGGGACCCTAGAGATTATCTATGCTATGTGAGTAAACTGAGGCACAGAAAATATAAATATTTCTCCAAGGACAGTTAGTTCATTAGTTCGATATCCCTGAATCTCTCTTAGCCAATATAATTTTCTGTTTATTAGAGTAGTAAATCATTATTTAAGTTAATTCAACTAAAAGATTGACTGTAAGTTTAGTTAGCAGTAATAATATGGAAATAATAAACTTCTCCAATTTTATGTCGGGAATCCTGGAGAACAAAGGATGAATAGAAATTACTAAATCATCTAGAAATCCTGCTATCTGAAACATATTTTATTTCCTTTTATTGCTTCTCTTGGTATTTTCCTTTACCATTTTTCCCCCTCCGGTTTATGCCCTTCTATAAAGAGAGAACCAATAGAGCAGCAGCTGGCTGTGAAATAAGCAAATTGGTCTTATTCCAGGGTTTCAGAGATTGTTGGTTAGTTGAGTTTGTTTTAAAGGCATTACTTCTGACCTCCTGATGATGTGGAAAAGGAGGTGACATTTTACCCTACTTGAGAACATGATATATGCTTTACTTCTCTGTACTGAAAGTTCTACCAAAATGCTAGTATGATTTCAAAGGTCACCACAAAAACCAACCTGTGGCAGGTTGGGTGTTTAATCTAAGGTCAGGTAATCCTCTAGGTATACAACTGTGAAACAGAAAAACAGACAATTCAGTGACCAATGGAGTGATGAGGAAAATATTTGGGGATTCAAGAAAGCATGTCTATTTAGCTGAGAATATAATTGGATTATTTCCAGACTGTGGTGTTTTCACTAAAAAATGATTGGTCCAGGGATATTATTGTCCTTGTTAAAAAGATGAGTATAATGCTGCATCTAGTAAAGTTTGAGATAAAACGCTCACTTTCTGCTGTTATTTAAAATTCAACAAATACTTTTGAATGGTCAAATAGTTTCAGTTTTCTAACCAGATCAAGATAAGGTTTATTGTCTTAATACACTGAGTGACTCTTGAGACACAGATGACCATGGCAACAAAAACAGCAACAACAATAACTGGAAATGCAGATGCTGTGATTAATGCTTTTCTGATGTGTCTCAACTCCATCATCATCATGCCTTCATCAACAACACCATTAAATAGTGTAACAAGTACAATTCTTACATGGTGCTGACCTAAGAAAC